ATGGAATGGATTAGTGGATGATGAAAAAATGTTTATATATGCTCATACAGATGCAACTGCTTTTTCAAATATTTTTTATCCTGGTTGATTTAATTGGATGATGTGGAACCCACAAACACAGAAGGCTGGCTTATCTGTTGGACTTTCATATTTGTGCAAGGCTTATGATATATTTCTAATTCATAGTTTTCTCTGTTCTCCATTGGTGTTGTTTGAGTAGTTTCTTCATATCTAACCCTAAGTTTACTTATTTTCTCTCCTCTTATTCAACAGGCTGCTTAATGTATTCATAAAGTTCCTAATTTCATTTATCTACTTTTAATTCAAAAAGTTCAATGTGATTAAGATTTTGATCTTAAAGCTTCCAGTTTTAGTGTTTTCTTTCATTGTATTTTGTATTTTTTCTTTTATTTCCTTTTTTGTTAGATTTCTTTAATTTTAAAAATTAAAAGCTGACAAAACAACAATGAAGACAAAGTCAAAATAACACAAAAACAACAAAAAAGATACATGATCTCAGACAAAAATGATAGAAATTTACAGTGGTTGCTATACTACACACAGTTAGTTATTTTCAACTAAGTTGCTCAGTCCATTAGACATAAGAATGTAAGATTGATCAAACAATCAAAGACAGTAACAAGTAAAAAAAAAAAATCCCAGTACCAAACAAACAAACAAACAAGAAAACCAAGTTAAAAAAATAATTAAAAAGCATCGGAAATGATGCAGAGTATTTTATTTCATTAAATATATAAAGTATATTTATTTTGTATTCTCTCCCTGCCAAGTCTTAAGTAGGGCTAGGTAAGTGGTTTGTGTTTTGTCAATCATGCTGATCCGTATATATGATAGTTTATTTTATGTTTAGTGATTTTCATCATAGGCTTACATATTTATATAGAAATATTCTTTGAAATAAGGATTTAAGTTGTATTATCCGTAAAATATGTTTTGTTATTATATAAGAAACATGGATCTTTTGTCTCATGGACAAATGTGGTTAGAAATTCCTAGGAGATATTCTGTCCCCAACTCCCCTTCTATTTACTTTCTAGAATGTAGTCCTAGCTAGACAGTTGCCTTGGCTCTTTCCCTCTGTAGGGTGTTTCCCTTCCTTTAATTTAGACACAGGATATTTCCTTGTGGAGATTCATTATTGTGAGTTCATGATTACAATCTGCCCACGTGCTTGAGTCCCAGACTTTATTTCATATGTCCTGAATAGTAATGATGAAACCTAGGTTAATGAGTCCCCAAGAATCCACTGATTTCCTAAAGTTATATTCCTCATGGAGTGTTTGCCCTGTACAGTCACACTTTCTTATCTTTTGTCTTTTGCTGTCATAGATTTACACTTAAGTTTTGGCCAACTCACACATGAAAAACAGGCAAATTTTATATTTGATCCAGAGTTCATTTATTGAGGAGAATCTTTCTGAATATAAAGTGCATAGTGCTGGAAATACATGGCTTCAATAAATATTTCTTGATGGATAAATTGATTTCCACACTAGTAAAAAGAGATAATACCTTCTCTAGTTTTGCTGGCTATTGAAACACATCTGGTAAACTGTCATTCAAAATAAGAAAATGAGATGGGTAAGAAATTATGTATTAAAAAGAAATACCTATTTTCTTCATAAAATTAACCTCAAAAAACATATCTCAAGTACAGAACTGAAAGGAGACTTTCTGTGTAGTGGAGGAGAATGTGATGGAATAATCCAGAACTGTACTGGTGATTCTCCTGGACATTCCTTTGAATATTTTCTCTGATATGCACCCACGGTCGTGCAGGCCTTAGGTTTCTGCTTTCCCTCAGCACTAAGACAATGATCACACACTTGTTGCCTTGTTGCATTGTAAGATAAGGCCAGAGCGTTCCAAGCTTGACTGTCCTGAAGGCTAATGATGACAAAGGAGAAATAAACATGGAGAAAGAAGAAGAGAGGAAGAGAGAACAGAGAAAGGGGGATGAGGAGGGAGAGATACAGAAGAGAGGGAGAGAGTGCTAGATGAAAGCTGTATCTTTTATGACCTCAACTTTGATATCCATAACATCACTTCCACCAGTCTATTGGTTACAGAAGCCCCAAGACTCTCCCTAGAGTCCAAGTTAGGAAGCAAAGACTCCCTCTCTTGCTGGAACATTGTCAATCTTTGTGCACCATGAGTATGTGGGATGCAAACTCTGCGTTACTGAGTGAGTGTGTGTTGGTATGACCATCTTTGTAAAATACAATCTGCCACAAGCATACACATTCTATGGTTGTCATAAACACAATATCATATTAGAAAACATTCAGCATAATGCCAGGGACTCTGTAGTTTCTTTGTATGCATTAATTCTCTTTTCTCTCTTTATATAAGAAAAAATATAACAAGTTTTTGTTTTAAGAGACACAAAAGGGATGAGAAATAAAAAGTGTTATTTTTCTTGCATGTTCTGCTATAGTGAGGTGTCAGGTCAGTAAACACTCACTTTCTAAATGAGGGAATCATGGCTCAAAGATGTTTAGTAATTTTAGTCTTAAACTAATTTGGTAGAATGATTTTTTTGCTCTCCACTTATGCTTTAAATACAATTTTTGTTTAAGTATAACATAAAGATACATAGCTTGATGAATCTTTTGCTAACTAGATATATCTGTGTAACTGAATCAGAATATTATCCTATCGGAATCAGAACTAGCAGCCTCAAAGCACCTTTCATGCTCCTTCCAATCACTAGATTTTTGCAGCGCAGCAGAGAGGAATTGCTGTCTGACTTCTAACACCACAGATTAGTTTTCCAGCTTTTAAACCTTATATACTTGGGATCTTAAGACATGCACACTTGGACTTGGTTTCTTCCACTCCATAACAGACTGATATCATCATCAGTGAAATGAACTTTCAAAGCTAAACGGAAGTTTATTCTATTAATATGCTGTTATTTATTATCAATCTATGCACTTATCTTTATTGAGTATTGTATATACCTAGCAATGAAATGCTAGTTCAAAATATACACAATATATGCAAGTTTGTTAAACAGTGCCAGCAAGTTTTGTGAACCAACATATAATGATGTACTGTACTAAATTTATGCCTGGTACTATTGTAATTCCTCTTCCCTCATTTTTCCTGTTTTTCACCTCTTTTAAGCAGGTAGCTAGAGTTTGTGTTTCCTTACTTTAGCTTCTGTGGATATGTCTAAAACAAGCAGCATGAAGTTTAAATTCTATTTTTGAAGGCAAGGTCTAATGAAGAGATGGTATCAGTTGTCTAGGAAGGGTAGTTCAGTTTTGTAGGATTTTGAGGCTAAAGGAGGTGAAAGAGACTAATAGAGAGGAGATGGATGTTAATGAGTCTAGGAGACCACTGGGCCCAAAGGACCTGAACAACTCTTTTCAGTAGGGCCATCATATAATTTGTAATTTGGATCCAGGTACTTTTGAGAGAGAAAATGTATGCTATTATTAATTGTACAGGGATCATGGATGTAATTCAGTATCATCCCAGGCAAACTGGGCTTATTCAGGCAGCCTCCATAGATGCTTACAAATGCAGATGCTTCCATGTTCATGAGATTTTCTTAGAATGTGTTTTGTGATATGAAGAATAGCACTGTCACCTGAAGAATGACGGGATGAAATCCTTTGGTACATTTCCAGTTACACCTGAATCCTGTGTGTCTGCAGAGTTACCCCATGCTTCCCTGCATGAGTGTTGTGATGTTTTCATCTCCTCACATGTAGTCAAGGCCTATCTGTGGCCTTTTAGGAGGACTGAGAGCAGCTGGTGGTGGTTTGTAGTGGTTGTGGTGTTTCACTGTTCTGAGCATCTCATGGTCTATAACCTTGATCTAATTTTGTTCTTGATTTTGTACTTCCTTCAAAGTGTCCTATAAAAATTTGGAAATGGTGGAAAATAAATTTGGGGGCCATTCTACCTTAATGTCAAACTTAGGCCCCAAGAGTGAATGAGAGAGGGAAAATGAGTCCTCAAACTTTCAAAATGATGTGAAATCCCTTCAGTGAAGGGGGAGTTTGAGTAAAATACCATTTCCCAAGATGCTACATAAACATCCAATGCAGGCTGTATACAAAGACAGTGTAATGTCCTCCCTCTAGAGATAAAATTCAGAAAAATTCCCAGGGGAAATTATTTAATCAGGTCCCTGCAATCATTAAGCCAGTTAGAGTTCACTGTGACAGATTAGCTGGAGCTCCAATCAACAGGCTTGCTAGTTTTTTCTCCTGAAGTTGATGGAGATCATCTGGGAAAATCAACAAACAGAAACTTTCAACTATTCCTCAAACACCTTGGAGAATTTGAGTCTGTAAAAGCTTTGATTATCAGCACCCAGGGCACCAAAAGTGTCCAGAAAAAAGGCTATTGTTTTGTGCTCCAGAGCCCAGCACTGAGAAGAACCAGGGAGCTAGAAGGTAAAGGTATGAATCCCATCTTTCCTGATGCTCCTCTTCTAAACCCACATCCCAGGGCACATGGAAGTATTGATTCCTTCCCTGGCTTCACTGATCCTGAAGTGAAGTGAAACAAAGCGGCTTAGGGGAGAAAGCAGAATGTGCAGAGCCAGTGGGGGACACTCTGAACTTTTGACTTAGTTTTCTCCAGAGGGGGGAACTCTATAAAGTGTAGGGAGGGGAAGGCAAGGAATGGAAGGGCACTATAGGAGACACAAGAACTTGTGTCTCTCTGCGAGTCCTGCAGCCAACTGAGGTATGCTGACCCCTCATCTCTCAAGTGGGGAGAGAATCCTTGATGCCCACACTAAGAGACCAGCTTGGATTCATATTAGTCCAGGGGAGCTGAGGTATTGTCACAGCATCACTGTCGATAGGTTAGAATGGGGGGCAACATCAATGAAGCAAGGAATGAAGAGAGGGCATCCACTCTCTGACTTATTCTCTAGAGCCTCTTTCACTGTTCATGTGTATGTCTGTCATCATTTTTGTGTTTTGCTTTCCTTCCCCTAGACAACTTTCCAGAAGAGAATGATGCTGAGAAACAGCTCCTCAGTAACAGAGTTTATCCTTCTGGGATTATCAGCACAGTCGGCACTGCAGCTCCCCCTCTTCTTCCTGTTCTTAGGGATCTATGTCTTCACCGTGCTGGGCAACTTGGGCTTGATCGCCATAATTGGTCTGAATTCTAGCCTTCACACTCCAATGTACTTCTTCCTCTTCAACTTGTCCTTTATAGATCTTTGTTATTCCTGTGTGTTTACCCCCAAAATGTTGAATGATTTTCTGTCAGAGAATATTATCTCCTACGTGGGATGCATGACTCAACTGTTCTTCTTCTGTTTCTTTGTTAATTCGGAGTGCTGTGTCTTGGTATCCATGGCCTATGATCGGTATGTGGCCATCTGCAACCCTCTCCTGTACTCAGTTACCATGTCGCCTCACGACTGTTGTTTGCTGATGCTCGGTTCATACGTGACAGGGTTCGTTGGGGCCATGGCCCACACTGGAAGCATGCTGAGACTCAGTTTCTGTGACTCCAGTGTCATCCATCATTACCTCTGTGAAGTTCTCCCCCTCCTGCAGCTCTCCTGCTCCAGCACCTATGTCAATGAGCTTGTGTTTTTCATTGTTGTTGGAATGGTTATCACAGTGTCCAGTGTCAGCATCTTCATCTCTTATGCTTTGATTCTTTCCAGCATCCTTCAGATTCCTTCTGCTGAGGGCAGATCTAAAGCTTTTGGCACCTGTGGCTCCCACCTCACTGCGGTTGTTCTGTTTTTTGGATCAGGGGCTTTCACCTATTTAACAACCTCTTTTTCTGAATCAATGGAACAAAGCCAGTTTGCCTCAGTCTTTTATACCAATGTGGTTCCCATGCTTAACCCTTTGATTTACAGTTTGAGGAATAAAGATGTTAAACTTGCCATAGATAAAACATTGAAAAGAGTGCTCTTCTAATGGGTCTGATCAGTGGTAATTACTTCCCAGTAAGAATCATACTCAAGGAATGTTTTATCTGCAGGAGGAGAAATTTTAACCTTTTTTCCTCAAACAAATTCTTCCACTTTCAAAAAATCAGAATTTCTTGCCTGTACTTTCTTGACGATTACATTATTTTGTACCACTTAAATTGGATGATTATCTGCAACTTATTACCTATTAATTGCCCATTGTTTAATGGACCCCATGTTAGATGAATAAACTGAGGCTCCATGTCCTCTAATTTTTTCTCTGTAGGATAAATGAGTTTGTTCAAACAAGAATATTTCTGGATGGGAGAAGGGTCAAGTGGTGGTATGAGGGTCCAGGAATACTTTTTCTTCAGGTATGTGAACAATATTTAAAGATCAAAGGTAGATTCTTTGGTGCCATAGGTAACATTACCTCCTAACACGTAGGGAGGCTGGTTGGGCAGGAAGACCATGCATATTCCTTTCATATACATGTGTGCTCATACAGAGAAGGAAGCTTATATGATCTGATATATGAAGATAAATCAAAATCCAAATCTGCTATTTCAAAATTTCAAAATTCTTGGTGTTGAGATAGTAACTGGAGGAAGACCATCTTCTAATGAGGACAGTTTCTTAGGCTCTGGAGGCTCAGGCTGAAAGGAAGAAGGAGGAACTTCCATGAATTTGCATAATTATGTAAAATACTACCTCTGTTTTTCCCTGGAGATACCCTGGAGATACTGTGCACTTTTAGAAAACCTCTTAAAAGTGGGTTTAGACTTCAGCATGTCTCAGCATGTGTGTGTGTGTGTGTGTGTGTGTGTGTATGTGTACATATGTGTGCATGCATGTGTATTACAGATGACCATTAGAGGATTCGAAAGAAAGTAGATTAACTTCCCATTCTTAGGGAACCTGGAAGGGTTCTGTATTCTAAGTGCCAAGAACCACTCTGCACCACACTACTAAACATTTTGCTATTCTATATTCAATAGCTCAGCTTTGAAAACTACACCCTCACAAACTACTCTAAATGTAAGGAGGAAGGTGAATGTAGGACCATCCCAGCCGACAGAGAGAGATAGAAGGTGGTGACTCACACTGCTGTCAGAAGTGTGGGCACTCTCTGAGCAGAGGTTACAATTTGGGATGCCCTCAAAGAGACCCTCTGTGAAGAAATTTGATGCTTTGCTTTTGGACCAGGGGAGTCTTGTATTGAGTCTACACCTTTTGCTTCTATCTCTTTAATGCTTCCTAAAGCCATATAGCTGCCCAGTGTGCTCTGGCGCCATAAATAAGGCAATCAAGGGAAGAAAGGCTGCTTCATGGTTACCTCTTTGTTGACACTGATGTGGAAAGAGCAACATCATACTGGGAAGAAGGCAGTGTGAGTGTTCCAAGTAGAGTCAGAAGCAAGACATCCTAAGCAGTGCCTCAGAGCAGTACGAGGAGGCTCTGTGGTGTGAGGCTGACTGGTGAAGAGACTTGTGACAAACTGTATTTTCCCTAACTATGCTAGAGGGAAAAAGTCTTTGAAGAAGAAAGAAAGCATCATACTGGATTATAGCTAGATTTTGATAAAAAATATTTAGCATGTGACATATGCTTGTTCGTGCTTTTGAAGTGCCTTACATATATTAACTCACTTATTTGTATTGAATTATAAGACCATACCAAACCACTGCTTGTCAGCTCTCTGAGTCTAGATTAAATCCTACCCTGTACTGTCCATGTCTGGGCCATGGAGATCTTATAGTACTAGGAAACAGTTAAGAATGAGGAAGAACAAAAGTAGGTAGATGTGTAAAAAAAATCAGTTACCACTGGTAGAAATGAGTAAGAACAAGGAATAAGATATTAGTAGAAAGTAACATTAGGAAATAAATATATTAAAGTGAAAGAATAACTTTCCTTATACTAATTCCATATTGGCGTCGGGGTGAGTAAAGGTAAAAACACATATTTGACTTTATGTGACACAAGCTTAGATCTTTTGAAAAGCAGTTAATTGGTTACTGAGCATCTGAGGTGACAGAAATTCACAGAAATTTTTCATAGTTCTTGCAACAGCCTGCAGAAGCCATCAATGGCACCCACAGAGAACACAACTTCCCATAAATCCAGAAGGTATTCGTATTTCTCACAAACCAATGGTAGGTTTTCTTGAGTGGCATTTCTCATTGGTGTTGAGGAGTTGCTTGTTTTCAGTGACCAACAAATGTGAACAAATGGGGTCTGCTGCCGTATAGAAACAAAGAGATACGACTGGAAACCCAGTGTTAGCTGTGTTGAAGCAAACCTTTACACCCGCAAGTCTATAGTTCTCTCATCTCATGACATCACAGTTTAAATTTCAGCAAGATCACATTTTTCTCTTTAGGAAGCATCCTTAAATTTGAGATACCTCTGGGTTCAGTCTTTGGTCTACTTCCTTTCTTGAATCTTTCTAAAAAAATTCTCTCCAACCCGTATCACATGTGTTCAGTAATCACATATTTGATAGTTACTTAAAAATCTATAACACTGTCTCCAATCTATGATTGCAATCTGTAATCAGTTGTAAATTAGAAATATAAAGTATTATATTGATGTTCAAATGGTAGTGCTGATGAGGTGATGCAGTTTTGGAATATGAGGAAGAATACACTCTTTCTGTTGCCTATACAGTAGCCTACATTCTGAGGCTGTGGGAATGGACAGACGCAGTACAAATGATAGACCTCAGGTAGGGGGAGTGAGAGTCCAAGAAGGACTTTGGGTGAATCCTGGGAAGAAATGCAGGCACTGTCCTGTGTTCGGAGGAGCAGATGGGAAGGGCTCTGTGACTCAGTGCTCACCATCAGCTTAGCTACACAACACACTCTCTTCTCACACATCCATACATGCATCATTTACTGAGTGCTTCAGCTTCTAGTTACAAAAGCCTGATTCCTGTGACTTAAACACGTAAGGACTTAAGTGTTTCTTAACATAAAAGGAATCTAGAAGTGGGCAGTCCAGCACTGATATGACAGTGCTGAGTCATTAGGGACTCAGCCTCTGTCTCCTCTTCCTTCTTAGTAGTGACTTCATTCTCTATGATGTGTTATGACTTCCAGATGGTTGCTAAAGTTTTAATGGTTTGGTTCACATTTTAAGCAGCAGGAAGACACAGGAGGGAGGGAACGCAAGACAGTGCTTTATTATTTCATGGGTAACTTCTGACATCTTAGCTATCCTTTCTTGAAAGGGAGACTAAAACTTGAGAAGATTTTCATTAAAATATAGAATATTGTTAGGAAGAAGGGGAAATAGCTGTTCTGTAGATAACTAACAGTCTCTAAGGATGGGATTCTACTTGCCAGGAAGGTATATTCTGAAGGGGGGGGGTTCAATTCTTACTTTCATACTTCATTCCCTCAAGGAGAGGAGTATTGACTAACTGGAAAGATAAGACGGAAGACTAACAAGTTGGCCATTGATGGAGATATGCCCAGTGTCTTCATCACTAGTCTGCTAGTGCCACATGAGATAAGTTGTTGGCAAAGACAAGCCAGATCTGTGCTACTTCATTTCCAACTTTTCCTCCTGTCTTCTATTGGGTTAAGTTAGGGTCCAAGTTCTAAGGCAGAGGTGAGTCCCAATATATATCTCTGATTAGCCTTGCTATCAATAAACATGGAAAGGTATTTTATCCCCTTTTGGCTCTTTGTATTCATTCTCACTAATTATACCCCATAGAGGAGGGAGAATGAGTGATTCATATTGTGAAATGTTCCAGTAGTCACGCTCACTACGAGGACTTCTGGTAACTGAAGTTCTCAGTTTCTTAATGTTTGGGACAACCTCCCTTGCTCTGGTGGTGGTTACTGAAAACCATATCTAGCACAAAGTTTCTGAGAGTACACAATGTACAACTCATCTGACACAGTGGACAGAAAGGTTCACTGACTGAGGGTGGATAGGGAAATTTACAAAAAATGAAACTAGGGAACCCATAATTTCATAGAAAAGCAAGAAGACTGGCTTATCTTTCAAGACTCACTAATCAGTTCAGCGGTTCAGCGGTTCAGTTTGTGCCATCTTACCACATGGCACAAATTCAAGTATGGTGGTATGGATCTGGAATGTTCCCCCCAACAAAACTCATAGGCTCAGAGATGGGACTTTGGAAGGCATCTAGGTCATGTGGGTGCTATATGCATGGCAGACCACCAATGGTTTCACACAGCTGATGTGCTATTAGGAGGCAGCGCTTGGTTGGGGAAAGTGGTTTACTGCGACATGACCTGGAAATTTCCCTCTCTGGCTTCTTCCTTTTCTCTTGGACTCTTGTCTGCCATATATATTATAAATTTATTTTCTTTCTACAATAACACCTCCTTTACTGGGGATACCTTCTGAGACCCCAAGTAAATGCTTGAAATCTGATAGCACTTATTCCCATACATACTATATTGTTTTCCTATTCATGCATACCTATGAGTTTAATTTATAAATTAGGCATGTAAGAGATTAACAGTAACCATAATAAAATAGCACAATTATAACAAAATACTATGATACAATTATTAGCATTACTACTCTTGTATATTGGGGCCATTGTCAAAGAAAATAAGGGTGACCTGAACACAAACACTGCAATACTATGACAGTCTGATTCCCTAGAGGGCTACTACTGAACAGAAGGCGGCAGCATGTACAGTGCAGATACGCTGGACAAAGAGATGACTCATGTGTCAGGTAGGATGGTAAGAGATTTCATCACATTATTCAGAACTGCACACAAGCTAACTTATGAATTGTTTATTTCTGAAAATTTCCACTTAACATATTTAGGCTGTGGTTTAGTGTGGATAATTGAAGCCCTGGAAGGTGAAACTGTAGATAAGGGAGAATTATCTACTGTATATAAAAATCTGATATGTATATGTATATATATGTGCATGTATGTGTGTATGTTTAGTTCTGTGTTCTGTGTCCAAGAAATTAGAAAAATATCTTCTTATCTAAAGGTCAAGAAAT